AACAAAATACCAAACACCATATAATATTTTCTTTTACTTTTTGATGCATACTTCAAATTAAATATTTCAACTTGACCTGCATGATTTGGTAAATTAACATTCCTATCATGTTAATTTCAAACAGTAACAAAATTCTGAAGAAGTATTATCTGAAACATTAAGCGTAATACAAATCTCCATGAAACTATACATCTCTTCAAAGATAAAGCCGCTCCAAATTAATATTCCAAGAAATTATACGTATTTTCAAAAATATAGCAGGTTCACAGCACTATCAATAAGCGAGCTCCTTTATTCCATATAATTATACGTAACTTCAGACATAAGGCAGCTCCACAGCAATGTCAACAAATGAGCACCTCTATTCCATGGAATTGTAAGTCTCTTCAAAATATAGCAGGTTCACAGCACTATCAATAAGCGAGCTCCTTTATTCCATATAATTATACGTAACTTCAGACATAAGGCAGCTCCATAGCAATGTCAACAAACTAGCACCTTTATTCAATAAATTTACGTCGCTTCAAAGACAAAGCAGCTCCACAACAAACAAACACCCTTATCCCATGGAATTATACACATCTTCAAATATAAAGCAGCTCCACATCAACACCAACAAAGGAACACCTTTATTCCATGAAATTATACGTAACTTCAAAAATAAAGCAGTAGTGAATCATTTAGAATGATGAAGTGTAAAACTTCCACTGTCCATATTTGCATGTCGACAAACAATTCAGCATTGTCTTTCAAAACGAATACTTTTTGATTACGTTTTCCTTAATACCTCTTGCAATTCAGCAAAAGTAATTCTATCGTACTACATTTGTGAAAATATAATATAAGTTAACCTATAAATAAATGTTGATAATCATTTATATAAATGACTCCGTTTGGGTTTAGTAAAAACATACAGTGTTTAGAAGATTACACCGAAAGCCTTCATTGATTTTTCTAATATCTTCAAGGTGTTTCCACGTAGGTTTACTCCTCAAATTACAAACTTGTTTGCACATTCGTCATTGCCGAAGAGGTCGACATATTGCATTATAATGATTAATATTCTGTTTTTACCCGTTACAGCACTCAGTGTAAAGAACTGACCAAAAAACATTGTCTGAAATTACTCATTTTTTGTGTAAAATACATAGGGGGTTTCATTAATACTTAATAGGGTTAATTACAGTATTAATGGTATTTTTGTGTACGTCATTAAGAACCCTGTTGTTTAGTTGTGTGTGTTGTTTTGTTAAATTTCGCGCAGAGCTATTTCAGGGCTATGTGCACTAGCCGTCTTTATCTTCGAAATGACGTAGATAGAGGGAAGGCAGCTAGTCAAACACCACTCACGGCCAACTCGTGGGCTACTCTAATCGAATATTGGAATTTGATCGTCACTCCTATAACATACCCACGACCCCAAAGTGCGGAGCGCATTTTTTCCAGCTGTAACAAGGCGCGAACAACGGAAGTTCGGATCCATCAACCGCCAAGCTAACCATTAGGCCACGGCCCTAAGGACCCTGCTACAAATAAAGTGTCCCCGGTGGGCTTTTGTTAAGTTTCCTGACTTACAATGCGAAATTCCGGGATTAAATTCTCCGCGCTGGACAAAGTGCAAAGAGACCATTTTGTAGCTTTGCGCTAAAGGAAAAAAAAGTAAAGATACAGAGGCAATTTAGTGAATAAATTGATTTAAAAAATTTGTTTAAAAATGCGATGCGATCGGACACTATGGGTAATTTCACGGTTAGATCTGCTTCTGATAACATATTCAAGACCAAAAACAAAGGTTTGTATAAAGTAGGAAGTATGTGATTTCATAAAAAGTTAATATCAAAGATGAGAAAGCTCTTGGTCAAATATGTTACGTCGCTATGTAACCTTATATATATATATATATATATACATATATGCCCCCCCCCCAGTTGCACAGTGGTATGTCTGCGGACTTACAACGATACCCGTGGTGGGCAGAGCACAGATAGCCCATTGTGTAGCTTTGTGCTTAATTACAAACAAACAAACATATATATATATATGCATCACTAGATGTTTGTCGGAGAAATTGTTTTTGAGGGGAGGCTGTTTTTGCTTATTTAAGAAAAACACACGGACACACAAAGAAAACAGAGTTATTTACTGAAGATTGGATATGTGATTTTACAGGAATGTTCCTGTTAAGCCAGAATGTATACTCGTTGTTGAGAAACGCAACAACCTTTAGAAGTACTACTGCTTTGTTGCCGTCAGTATTAAAGTAGCTAACCCTTGGTAATATTTGAAAGCAGTCCAAATGAGGCAGACTTCGCTGGTTGACTTCATTCTTTCTTTATGGATGATTGAGGACACTCCTCTATGTTACTCCCTGGTCTCGTCACAGTCCTTTTTCTGACTTCCCCCTCTTTATTTAAAGCTATTCAACGTGTTCTATTGGATTTTGCTGTCATTTCTCTTGCAAAGTTTATATTAATAATGATAAGTAACATAAAAGTATCCATCTATGTGGATAAATTATATGAAAAGTGCGTGTAAAATTTATACTCTATCTAGAAACATATACATATGTACTCGAAGAATATATATAGAAATAATTAGTGTTTTGAACATAGTATGTATATAGTGTAAGTGAATGTAAACAGTGCGTATAAGGCTTAACAGCCACATCGCGTGTCTTGCGGATCCAGGTTCCAGTACTAGAAGTTAGTTTATTTATAAACAAAAGGTTTCGATTAGCGTTTCAACGTTCGCTGATGTAGTGCGCCAGAAATGCCAATGAATAGAGGCATATACTTATCACTTGGTAAGAGAATAATATAACAAACTTTATATTTTCAACCGAAAAAAAAAGTCTTTAAATTGTTTATAACTACACCTTGATGTCACTGTTTAAATACCTTGGTAGTTGTTGTTAAACGTAATGTTACCCACCGCTTGGAATCGAACCTAGGATTATAGTGTTATAATCCCTTAAGCTTACCACTGAACCAGTGAGAGACGAGTAACTTCACAATGATTTCTTTTTTACGGGATTTTATATAAGTATTGTGTATGTAATTAGCTGGGCTTTCTGGAAATAGAATCGTTTGGTTTGGATTGTCTGCAAAGAAAAACTATTAAAATCATACAGACGAAACTTAGTGCATCTATCTGCTCAAGAAGTGGGTTATTTCTGCTGTTCGATTCTTAAGATTAAAGGCATCGTTCCCCCATGAATTTCTTCAATGATTGAACATATCAGTATAACATTGTCTATTATTATTTTTGAAACATTTATTTTGTAATAAATCGACATATAAATAGGCTAATATGTGCCTAAAATTATTGGTTCCTATAATCAATTCAACGTGTTAATAAGAACATATAAAAATGTTAAGGGTATTTTAAACTTATCATATACAGAAAAAATTAAACGTTAGTTGTTACCTAATTAAGTTTCAATAACGTGTTGTATAGAGTTGTAACTGCGATAGTATCGAAGTGTAATAACGTGTTGTATAGAGTTGTAGATGCGATAGTATCGAAGTGTAATAACGTGTTGTATAGAGTTGTAAATGCGATAGTATCGAAGTGTAATAACGTGTTGTATAGAGTTGTAAATGCGATAGTATCGAAGTGTAATAACGTGTTGTATAGAGTTGTAAATGCGATAGTATCGAAGTGTAATAACGTGTTGTATAGAGTTGTAACTGCGATAGTATCGAAGTGTAATAACGTGTTGTATAGAGTTGTAAATGCGATAGTATCGAAGTGTAATAACGTGTTGTATAGAGTTGTAAATGCGATAGTATCGAAGTGTAATAACGTGTTGTATAGAGTTGTAAATGCGATAGTATCGAAGTGTAATAACGTGTTGTATAGAGTTGTAAATGCGATAGTATCGAAGTGTAATAACGTGTTGTATAGAGTTGTAAATGCGATAGTATCGAAGTGTAATGACGTGTGTATAATACAAAATATACATCATTTTTCAGTTATTAGGAAGTTACATCCTTTCCTGTTTAAGTATAAACTATATAAAATGTGTCATTATGTTTACGTTTATTATGCCGACTTATGAGTGCAAAGTGAAGTACAATTCATTACATATTCATTGAACAAAACTTCATGATGGTTGAAATTAAAACAAATAGTCTATCGTCAGTGTTACGTCGTGAAGTTCACATGTGTTTTTTGTTGTTGTTATTATTTATATTTCTTTTCATAAAGAATCCTATTGTCTGAGTGAATTCTATACAACACACATTGCAAGCGATTTTATGAACCTCATATTGAATTCTGAACCCATATTGCTGGTGGTCTTGTGGATTCAATATACTATCCTTAATTCATCTTGCTGGTGGTTTGGTGAACTCGGTAGTATATTTTTAACTCATCTTGCTGGTGGTTTGGTGAACTCAGTATTATATTTTTAACTCATCTTGCTGGTGGTTTGGTTAACTCGCTCTTACATTTTCAACTCATCTTGCTGGTGGTTTGGTGAACTCGCTATTACATCTTTAATTCATCTTGCTGGTGGTTTAGTGACCTTGGTATAACATTTTGAATTCATCTTGCTGGTGGTTTGGTGACCTTGGTATAACATTTTGAATTCATCTTGCTGGTGGTTTTGTGAACTCGGTATTATATTTTTATCTCATCTTGCTGGTGGTTTGGTGATCATGGTATAACATTTTGAAATCATCTTGCTGGTGGTTTGGTGACCTTGGTATAACATTTTTAACTCATCTTGCTGGTGGTTTGGTTAACTCGCTATTATATTTTTAACTCCTCTTGCTAGTGGTTTTGTGAACTCGGTATTATATTTTTATCTCATCTTGCTGGTGGTTTGGTGACCTTGGTATAACATTTTGAATTCTTCTTGCTGGCGGTTTTGTGAGTAAGATATTTATAACTGATTTTGCCAGAGATTATTCTGAACTCGATATGAAGTTCTTAAATGATCTTGCAAATGGTTTTATGAACTCAATATAACATTTTAACTCATCTTGTCGCTTCAGCTCAATACAGAACAGCATATGCCTGCGAAGGACGAGATCTCAACATCACTTGTAATCCAGGATATCACATCCTCTTGATCCGGGCTAACTATGGAAGGTTCAGCATCGCTCTCTGTAACGAAAATGGTGCTTTGAACTGGAGTGTGGATTGTAGATCCAAAAATTCCTTCTCTGTAATGCAGAGCAGGTGAGACTCATTTATCTTTTTATGATTAGAAACATAGTGTAGCGACGATCATTAATACTTTTACCACCTTAGTGTAACGACGATCATTAATACTTTTACCACCTTAGTGTAACGACGATCATTAGTACTTTTACCACCCTAGTGTAGCGACGATCATTAGTACTTTTACCACCCTAGTGTAGCAACGATCATTAATACCTTTACCACCCTAGTGTAGCGACGATCATTAATACTTTTACCACCTTAGTGTAACGACAATCATTAATACTTTTACCACCTTAGTGTAACGACAATCATTAATACTTTTACCACCATAGTGTAACGACGATCATTAATACCTTTACCACCCTAGTGTAGCGACGATCATTAATACTTTTACCACCTTAGTGTAACGACGATCATTAATACTTTTACCACCTTAGTGTAACGACGATCATTAATACTTTTACCACCTTAGTGTAACGACGATCAATAATACTTTTACCACCTTAGTGTAACGACGATCATTAATACTTTTACCACCCTAATGTAGCGACGATCATTAATACCTTTACCACCCTAGTGTAGCAACGATCATTAGTACTTTTACCACCCTTGTGTAGCGACGATTATTAATATTTTTTTCTATCAAAATTCAGTAACAACTGTAAGGTATCTGAATTTTTTAAGTTTTTTTTAAATAATAACATATTTAAAAGAAGTCTTCTGTTACCATTTATCACATAAACGCATATACATATATATATATATATTCATGTAAGTATCTATGATTTGTTTGTCGTTAAACCCAAATATACACAATGGGCTAACTGTGTTGTGCCCATCGCGGTCATCAAAATCGATTTTTAGCGTAATAGGCCCTCAGAATTCACGCGGAGCCACTGGAGTCCATGTTTGTGGAGAAAGAAGAGGACCACGTATAAACAACAATGCTGGACTTGCCTTACGCTATTAAAAATTCTAAAGAAATATACAGAAAATGGACAAAATGAGAAAATACAATCTGGGAAGCTTGTAAAATCTTCTTTCTCAGAAACTGAAAATGTGCATAATTATGTAAGTCAACATAAACTATCCATTAAACCTTTTAAGAGTAAACCGTATCTAAATAACGCCTCTCTCGGGAAAAAAAGTTTTAGGTTTGGTTCGTATACATTTTAAGAAAAAATCGATTTTGTGTAATATAACTATAGGAAATGACACTAAAAACAGGGGTACAATTACATAGAACAGAAAAAAAAATAATAATACTGTCGCCAAGTAAATCTTTTCTGGCACGTTAGAGTAGACTGCTGTAACCCTACTCGTGCCTTATCTATTCTATCTATAATTTTTTTACCGCCTTTCTATATAAATTCACGTCCCCGCAGTTGTAGGATTTTCAAAATTTGTCTATTTATACCAGAAATTTCGGTCATCATTTGTAGTGCTTCAGTTTTATTTTTTTCCTTTCAGTTTTGTATGTAGTATAACGCGTTTTTTCGAGGGAAAAAAACGCTTTTAAAGATGTGAAATAATAGTTATAATTTTCTGATGCGATTTTTTCTAAATGTTGCCTGTGCGAAATAAAACAGATCAGGTCATTCGTCACTTTATTTCTCCGTTATTTGAATTTTTTTTTTATTTTACAGATGAATGTGAATAATAAACACGTTGTTTTTAGTAAAAGAATGTGAAGTGTGTTTTGGTGACATCGTGACTTCATGTAATATATATTTTTACGAAACTATTTTTTTTTCTTGTTGTTGTTTTTTTTATCTGATTTCACATTTGGGAAAATAGGTGTCATTTATAAGAGTGATGACCACTACCGATGTATTTGACCTAGAAAATATTTACTAGCGATATGAAACATCAATGAAAGTTACAGAAATAATATTTGGTTATTTTATACAAGATATATAACTGCTAATAAAAAAAAGACCTCCAAATATTTCAGAAAATTTAATGGAAGACTTTGAGTTGACTATTTAAATACTTCGTATAGATTAACATAAATTGTAACAAAAATGTTGTTGTTTTTTATGTGTTTTGCTTTTTTATGATTTTAGGTGAATATTACAGTAAACGTGATGTAGTTATGAACGATATTTTAACATTAACCTTTCTTTGGTTATTTAATATGTTGATGTGAAAATCGTGCAGTAGGTATAACACAAACAGCTCTTTTGGGATGAGCTCACGAATAAGGTAACAAAGACGACCTTTGGTCATTTCAGATGTGCTGGCTTGCCCAGTTGTACCATTGAAGTTTCCAGCAAGACATTTGGCGATGACCCTTGTCCAGGGACTTACAAATATTTAGAAGTGCATTACATATGTGGTTTAGGTTGGTTTGGTTTGTTTATTTTTTATTTGTTTACGTTTACTTTCAGTATGAATAAGTTGGAAAGATTTAAGTCGAAAGAACTGGGACCTTGTCAATGTAACAATTATATAAAGTCCTATTTCATTTCATTTTCTTATTATGGTGTATAATTATCACGCTCTTTGTGAGTTTCGAAACGTTTATTAAACGGAATTATATACAATTTTAAAATTTATTGTGCAAACAAAAATCAAAATTTGATAATATTTGGACAGATAGCTTTAACAAGAAAAAAAAAAGACACCAGCTTTAGCTTGTTTACGTTATTCCTCTTACTGCCAGAGGAAAAAAAATGTACAATTTGCACCTAATTCTGGTCATAAATATTTTTATAGAATACCATGTGTATTCACACCCCTTATCAGTTCGACGACTAAATCAGTTAGCTTGTTTATTCTGTTGCGACCATATTAACCTAAGCGTGCGTGTGTGTAGATAATGAAGAACAAACTGATTTTTATTCTTCCTAAGCTGTGGTATGAAGAACAGTTGTGGACTACCAGCATCCAGCTTGGTGTTCGGGGACCCTTGTCCTGGAACACTGAAATACTTGGAGGCTCAATACCAGTGTGTGCCAGGTATAAAATCTACAAAATATCTTGGTGTTTCCTGTTGATAGCTGTGCCTGGTCAGCTTTTATTCGTTATTTCTTAATTTTCATTTTATAATTTTAGCATGCCACTAGAGGGCAAAACTATTCGGAACTGCATGACAGAGAAAACCTTTGAAATTTTCGTGCACTCGTATGTTCTTTATTGTTTCATTATTAGGTTTATAATATGCGTTTTAACGTACTTTAGACCATATATGCTTAAAATAGATAAAAATGTTATCTTAAAACAGGTAAATTTATTTTTCCTTTGTTGTGCTTATACGTACGAAAAATATGTTTTAATAAAGAAAGTTTAACGAATTGCAGATGATATTGAGAGTTTTTGTTTTTATAAAATTGTATATTTTCTTAATAAGTTAATATAAAAGCATCTCACTAGGTGCAAGTACTAAAAAACAAAGCAACTGCGGATATGTTCGTAATAATCGAGTTATTTCTAAAACAGCTGTAACATTCGTTTCAAAACGCCAGTTTGATACCTTCATAAAATTGGAAGCACATCGAATGTTTGAAATGTTAAGCAAGTAGTTTAATTATGATGAAAAATTAGACAAGGTTCCATTGAAGTTAAAATCTCCAGAGGGAGGACGTCTGGTCCAAAACGTCGTGAACATTAAAATATCTATTTACCACTTTTGTGGTGTAACTCTTCCCCCTTTTTAATTTTTAATAGTTTAATCATTTGGTGTGTGTAAGGTTTTAGCTAGATATTTTTTAACTTAAACCATGGTTGGTGTTTAGAATTTTTTTTCGATGTGTAAAATATAATTTTAAAATCTTGTACGCTATTTGATATTTCATTTCTGAATACATTTTGTTAAATATAAAGTAACTTTCGCTTGTTTTCTCAGCCTAGGTGTGAGAGATTGGCCTTTATGATATTTTTTCATAATTCAAATTTGAGATATCATTTAAAATTATGTTTTCAGATGTTTCTACAACAACCACAAGACGTCCACGTCCACAAATAATTTTCCCAACTATACGATCCCCAGTAATCAAATCAACCACAGAACTTCTGAAATTTTTGACAAAAACTTCCCTCACCACAACACAGACTTCATCATCCACAGCTATAACAGTGATGACAACGACAACAACTGTTTCATCATTGTTAGAACCAAACAGTGCAAACCCAATACAAGTGTTTTCATCAGGTACCTTTTTATAATTTTTGAATATCTGATTGATGTAAGTAGTTTTTATATTGAAAGTCAAAAGTCTAAAATTTTCAAATTAAATAATGTAAAGAAAAACCAGTAATTTTATAAAAGTATGTTTTGCTCTTATGATTTTTAAAATATCTAACTTCAAAGAAGTTATTATTATTTTTTTTCCATGTATTCCATAGATGAACCAAGTATTATTAGCTCATCAAAAAACGCAACGGATAAGTATTGTCCACCAGTGTCCTCTCGTGGCCTTTTTTGGAACTGGACTCGTATAGGGCAGGTAATGGAACAGAAGTGTCCCGATGGCGCCCATGGTAAGTGAAAAGTGCTAATTTAACAAGAACGCTACTGTTATACGTCTTTGAGAGCTCGTAGAAGTAAAATAAATTAATTTTTCACAACACAACTCATCATTATACAATTATATCTATGATCAATTCACAATATTTCAGTGCTGGCATGTTTTGTTTCCAGTCAAAACGCTACTAAACACGCATGACAATTATAATCTATATAACAAGATTTAGTGTCTCTGGTGTCACGTAACACCTCATAAACCGCTAGCCGCACCAACTTCTAAATGGTGTCAAACGTATCATCTCGGTCCCAAGGTTTACACAAACGTAAAATATTTCACCCCACTCCGGGTATTTCCTGAAATCTCTCTCTCCTAAACTGCTGGTCTTACCAACTTCTAAATGGTGCCAAACGAATCGTCTCAGCCCTGAAGTTTGCGCAACGGTAAAACAGTTCACCCAACCCATTAGGAAACCCAGCTATTTCGTGAAAATATTTTTCAGGGGATTCTCCGAAAGTGGACCCCCCAATTTGATATTGATTTACACTAGAGCACGTAAATAAGTAGACATACTAATTACCGTTCGTAACTTGGTAAATAAATTAAACTTCCATTATAGCTGGCAATAAACATTAAAATGAAAAAAGTGCAAAATAATAGTTCAAACATTAAATTTGTATTATAGCGGCCCTGTAAATATGGGCCATAGGCCAATATATGTATGGTAGGCCGAACGACCAATCATTTGCATGTTAGATCGTATGATTGGTCATCAAAGAATGTACCGAAGAGATAGGATTGACATTAAAAGATATAGGTAGAAACATAAGAAAAGTATATTTGAATAGCTATAATGATTGCCAGGTTTATTTTTAGTTTCACTCTAAGTACATAGCTTGCTCTGATCAGATGTTAATAGTATTTATTTTTGTAGTAGTTGTTCTGCCTTGTTATAACTAAAATATGCAATTCAGTTATCATTTAACTGTTTAGTGCACTGTGTTTATAAGTTCCTGACCATTAAATTATAATAAAAATTGAAATTCTTTATTTAACTAGCTATTTTTAAGTAAGACTATTTATTGTACTAGCAGAAACGTTGCCCTACACTGAAACAAATTTAGAAAAAAGTGAACAGTTTCTTAAAAGTGTTATTTTTTCTGGGAAGTGCTGCACGGGAAAAGTGTTCAGATTATGCTCTTTAGTCATATACAACTCATTGCATCAAATTGATTCAATGTGCAGAATTTAAAATTTTCCTAAGTTTTATTGATATAAACTGTAATGTTTTTATATATATATTAAAAGTCCACCTTTACTGAAAAATAAGTTTCTTTTTAAGAACTCTAGTATTTTAGTACTATATATAAAAATTACATCAATAAAAATGTAATTAAACCCTCACGTACAGTCCTAGTGAAAGTCGTATTCTTATTGTGAGGAGAGTAGTCTTATTTAGAATTGTGTTCTGTTATAAAGAAATGGTTGTTGCACATACCATAGTTATTTTTCTAATTATATGAATCTTGAATACCTAAAGTGTAAAATACTTTTTTGTGGTGCCATTCAATAGATGGCGACACATTTCATAAGCCTCAATCATCACTTCTGGCATTAAAATCTTGTTAAATTTCAGCACAACAGATGGCACCATTGTATTTATTATGTCAGTCACATAGATAGGTAGACACCGTATTTTTCGGTGTATAAGACGCACTTTTTTTACCCCAACATTTGATGTCAGAATCTGCTTGCGTCCTATACGCCGAAGGTATGAATAATATATGTATGTATATATACGATATACACAAGCCATGTGTAAGTATATTGAAATAGGCATGCATAGTTTAGTTCAATTGAATGTGTTATTTATAACAATAGTAGTTTTTTCTTTTAAAAACATAACTATTTATAATGCTCCCTAATTAATAAAAAAAATATATAATAATGGATGAGAGTGAAAAAGCTTGTAAATACACGACGATCCCTGTTTAATGTGTAGCAAAATAAGGCCGTTTCAGGACTAATTTTAACAAATAAAAAATCGTTTTTGAGTGCTTGCCTTGGATTCAAATCAGCTCTTTTGTGTTTAGAACAATATATACTACTTTTTAAAGTATTGTTACGACAGCGGAGGTCACGTGACTCTAGTAACACGTCACGCGCTTCTAGAACGTTCATGAAGCCTCGGGAGGTTACTAGATTTCGGTATTCTTGTACATATAAGATGGTCAAGACGTGACGGTAATTGAACTGCGGGCAGAGAGAGACATATTGTTGAGTCGAGCACGTGAGGCGTTCGTTGTGAATTATAGCGTTTGTT